CAGATCACAGCGGAGGCGTTCGCCCGACAAAGGCGAAAGCGAGGACGATACCTGGGACTGCTACTCCCAGGAAGAGTGTGTAATGTACAATTACTACGAATGTTATAGTAATACTCTCAATATTAGTCTCTTTGTACTTTGACTACTAATGCAATAATGCAATACTATTTTCATTATTAGCATAATTGTTGTAATGGTGTTATTGTTGCCATTATGAACAATTTAGAATTACTCTGACTATTCGTAGCAGTACTATTGTTATCTGACGGTTGTAGGGAGATATGCAGATCTGACCCAGTTTAACATTGAATTGATTTCATTGCTTCACACCGCAGCCCTAGCAGCAAAGCAAGAGCAGCGTCTGCGCCTCCTCCCACTCCGGAGATTTGAGCATCTCCCAGGACAAGTCAACACCGATGGTTCCCAGGGTGTCGGCTCGCACACGGCAGGCCACCGCAGTTGAAAGCCCACTACCGCAGCCCAAATCTACCTGCCACGCCAAATTTCGCGACTACGATTGGGATCGCACCCGTAGTAAGCTCGCTTCCACCTAAAACATAGATGATGGAGATCGCACGTCTTTGCATCAAATTCGCCTGCCTAAACACTTCAAAAAACCCCAAACCCCATCAACGAGTCAAGGATGCGGCCAGCAGACACTCCTGCCCAGGGCAGCAGGGATTTCATACCTCTTCTCGACGAAGCCTGAATAACTGAAAGACCTGCGTGTCTTCTTTGTCTGCCTTTCTAAGAGATGCTATGAGCTGTTCTCATTGATTGGTGCAGCAACAGGAAGCATCAAGATGTAAGGACGAGGACATGCATGGACATATGTATGATGTGTTCAACGTTACTGAGGGCTTCGCCTGCTGTTCCCGGCGAAACAAGCCTTCCAGGAATACATACGCTGCGCAAGTTTTCTCTTGAACTCTTGGGCCTACGATCCTGCAAGGACACCTTTGGCAAATAAGGCTCAAATTGGTGGTCGTAGTCGAACTTCTGACTGCTCTGGATGACAAGATGGTTCCAAACACCGAAACTCAAAATGCTGAACTCTTTCTGAATTCTCGTTGTCCTTGGCGTGGTCCACAGGTGGCTCTCCCGTGTGAATGGAGCACAGCTGCAATGCACGTCGAGCCAACGTCTCCTCTCGTCGACTCTGCTCTGCTCGAGTTTTTCGAAGTTCAGCGAGATTCATTTCAATATAGGGGCCTCCATAATCGGAACTGGGGTTTGAGTCCCATTACACAAAAATTACTACAGAACCCTAAGATATAATTATTAACAGACCCCTATATTAGTGTTATTAGTGCTTAGGAGCAGAAGGTGCTAGCAAGGAGTAGTGATGGCGGTGAGTGATGGTGGTGGTGGTGGTGGTGGTCAGAGGTCTGGGTTCCGTCAAAGCTACTCGAACAATTCGCATCTCTATACAATCAATGACACTGCCCCTGAAAGTTGTGCAGATCTGCTCCTATCCAAAAAGCGGATCACTGAACAGACTAACATCACCACCACTGTGCCTGCAATCTCCCGCGAGGTGTCTTCAAACGATTTCCGCCAAAACCGCGTGTTCTTATCTACTTTGTGCTGCCTTGTTCGTCAATGCTGGCATGATGTCGTTGTGTGGTTTGTTAGCTGATATCTATGACGGCGTACGATGGCGCTCCGCCATTAATGCTGAAGCAGGAGGACAATAGTGACAACGATGGTGACCGTATCGGTGGCAGTGGTGGTGCAACGGGGGCGCGGGGGTCCAATTCCATTGAAGGCTTCTTGCAGATACAAGACCAGCAGCAAACTACAATCTCTCAGCACAAACCGGTTGCTTCAGAGACAGCTCCTGCGAGCCGCGATTGTGCTCTGTGTAGCCCGCTGCGCGCCAAGAGTCGTAGTAGCCTTATTCTGGCCATCTCTACTCATCATCACCGATGCCGCCCACACCCATGCTCACCATCGTTCCCTTGTTATGATCAGGAACATCATCATCATGCTCGAAGGCTTCATCAGCAATGACATCATGATCGTCCTGATCACCAGAACCACCAGCACAAATATCAGGACGGTCATCGCCAACTCAACCGCCTGCATCATCAGCCGCAGCATCGAAACAAACTCATCATGTTCATCGCACTTGTCTTCATGGATGTAGCTCAAAGTTCAGGCGGCTGTCGCTCACAGTAGCATCGTCTGTCTCGCAAAGACATCCAAGCAACAGTCTTCAGAGTGCACATTTGCAAGCTCTGCTAATGCTCGCTGCCTTGTTAGAACTGCCGTTCTAATCATGACATCTATCTTGGTCGTTGCTCCCAGCATCAAGAAGTCAAAGTCCACGGAAGCCTTGGGCCGAAGGCAGTCGAGGGGCGATCAGCGTCAAAGTTGCTGCGGTCGGTCTCCTTCCAGGCCTGCAGAGCCACTTCGTAAGGGTCCAAGTACCTATGCAGTGTACAGCTTAATGGATATTTTGCGGATGAGCAAACGTATGGGGGCCAGATTGAGCTACGATCTCTCCCGTCCAACATACAGACTGCTCGAAAGCTCGATTCAATATAGTTTTCATGCAGTGCAATGCACACATGAATCGCTTTTCTGGCCTGACGCTTGTAGTCCATATGTGCAGCGGTTGGGGGCCTGAAGCCTGGTTTACGGCTGAGCTTTTCACAGGGTCCATAGGTTTCGATCGTGCATCGTCATTGTGTGGTGCGAAAGAGGGACCGTTTCAAGGCGACAGTGAAGAATCTCCAGATGCACCAGTATGCATGCCTGTCCTAAGCAATACTCAGAGGATTGGCCGCATTGTCTGTAGCATGTTGGTCTTTGAGCAGGGTCACAAGATTCCTTTGCATCAACTTGCTCCTTGAAACAGCTCAGGCGTCACATACTTCCTGGAAGTAGAAAAGCGTCAATAAGAAGAATGCACGACAGCCTACACTGCCCTGAGAGCATACTGCTGCATATCCCACCAGTGATGCTCATGCCGTGTTGCCGGAACTGCGACAAGGCAGTCGTTGCTCGGGGTATCTGAGCACTTTCATGTCATGTCCTTCTTTGCCTCGATCTGTTGGCGGAGCTCAGCTTGAGTCCTGGTCAGCTATACGTGGAAACTCAGACTCGCACTGCAACGAGCTGCAGTGTGCAGCCTCGACGACGACTTTAGATTTGCTCCTGGGAAATTTGCACCGTTACTTAGTTGCACCCAAATGCATGTCCTTTGGACAATGCGATGGTGATTGCGACTGCAGCTAAAAAAGGACTCGCCAGCGTGAGTCGTTCTCTGCACTGAAAAATGTCCACCTAAAAAACATATTGGTGTGCATGATTGTGGCTGAGCCTGTAGTGAGAGCTTGGCGCGGCCATTGCTTCCTCCAGCATCGCCAGGCGACTGCCTGGGAGCTGCCGCCAAAAGAGTCACGACCATCATCCGCCCTTTCACTAAGCACTGGAGTCTTGATTCTTTCTCAAAATGTCGTGTCAGCTTCAAGGCATGCACCTCCAAAGCGTGGCTGCTTGCCACGCCGAAGCATTTCCACAACATGCCTGACAGAGTCAAGGATGCAGTGAGTGAGGACGAAGGCTACAGTTTAGGTCGAATGCGCAATCTACCGAGGTATTGATAGGCCTGTTAGGCTCTGCAAGAGCAATCGTGCAGCGTTTGAGTGGAGACACAAGAGACCACCACCACTAACAGCAACAACAAGCACAAGCAAACCACAACCACGGCCGGGGCAACATCCAAGCCATCGCCACTGCATTCTTCTTCGCCATCATCACTACATGCAAGAAGAACCCCTGGACGTAGCAACAGACCGCTTCATGTCTAGTTGACACCGCCTCAGATCGGTGTGCAGGCGAGCGGGGAAAGAGCCCAGGTTGCGTTCCTGGCCTCAGAGGTCAATGGGCAAAAAACATCGCAGCAAGAATAGCCATAAGAAAAGCAATGGCTAGTAACAACCAGACATTGGCTGACGAGCCAGAACTAGCCAAGAAGACAAGCAAGCACTTCCGATAGATCAGTAATTAGTACAAACGCCATAGCGGAGTGCCCGAGTCAAACAAAAAAGCAAGCTTGCGGAGTTGGCCTCCACAAAGTCTGGAACTGAGTGCCATATTGGAATTAGAACGGTTAGGGGCTTCACACACGCTCTGCAGCAAAAAACTAAAGAAGTGCCGACTCGACAACGGCCAGCACAAAACTACTGGCCCGAAGCGGCTCAAGTCGTCTTGTTTGCAGCTTTAGAACTTGACCATGCGCCATGAGCCGAAAATCTAAGGTCATTCAGTGTGGTGAGTTGGGATGGCAAACCACAGACTCAAACCCAATTTTGTGGATGGAGTGTTAGCTTACGGCGGGACTCTGGGACCTGCTGATGGACAGGGTCTGTCTTGGACCGTCGTTTTCTTGCTCGCCCATACTGCTCACCAACACGCGGGCTGATGAAGCTGAGCTCTGTCTGACACAGCCGGGCTGTGTGCCAAGTGTACAGTTTCCTGAACCATCCTGAACCGTTAACAAGACCAATGCTCAGAAACCAACATGATGAACTGCGTACACCGCAGCATGACGCAGCAACGGATTACAAGTCAGTCATCTTCACATCAGATGACAAATTGTCATGTACATGTCTCGTTCGAGACAGCCGCCACGAACGTGGACGGTAGCAGTCGTGGCTGTCTGCGAACTGCACGACCAGGAAGATGTGGAGGCTCCATCTAGTACCCGAAGTATGCTTCGTAAAACTACCAACTCTCGGAACCCCGCAATGGACATGAAAATTGGCTGGCTGCACAGCATTGCTGTGCATCCAAGGTTGCAGCAAATTCGGCTTTCCCCATGTCAGGTCTGTACAGGCATAGCAAAGCTGTTCGCCATGCATGTCCTTGCGAAGTTAAAAGCTGCAAGAAACATTTGGGGAACGTGCGCACCTTGTCTGCACAATGAAGTCGGCCAACTGGGCTTCCCCCGAGCCCGAGCCAGGCAGTCCAGTGCGCAGCTCAAGCTTAAACTACTTTGCCGTAGACGAGGTCGTCGACGAAGCTCTGTGAACGTGCCGAGCAATTCCATTCCTCACTGTCAGGTCGAGATTAAACACGACTCTTTCCCATCTCGGGGTCAAGTGGTTACAAGGCACTTCAATGGCCAACAGTTGCTCGATGGTGCCATCAGAGGCAGCACATCCCTTTCTCTGTCCGGGGTCTTGTCTACACGTGCACAAGATTCACAGTTGTTGCTTCGCTGCTGCCATGTCTCACATGGGCTACGCCACAGACCATCACGACTCTGCCATCGCCTGTGCCGCATGCTTCCCAGGGTTCTGTGTCTGCATCTTCGCTCTCTCTCACAGAGAGAGAGAGAGAGAGAGAGAGAGAGAGAGAGAGAGAGAGAGAGAGAGAGATAGAGAGAGAGCAAGAGAGAAGGAAAGAGAGAGAGAGAGAGAGGGAGAGGGATTGGGTGGTTGTGATGTATGAACCTAGCCAAAAACTTTTGATGAACTACAGCCAGACGGCTAGACGTGCGACAGCATATAAGATGCTGATGATACGGTGATCCTGCTTCGTGGCGCTGTACCAGTACTGTCAGCAACACAAAGATCGGTAATTTCGCAGGGCTCATGAAGCCTGCGCTTTGCCAGACAGGACAGCTTCGCAGTTGATGGCTTTTGTCTCTAATCGAGCATATGTCAAGGTTTCATGCAGGTGCAAAGTCTCGCTTCCGCTGTGAACTTGGTCGCTACATCGTACGGTTCCACTGCAGGAAGACGGAACCGTCGAACCCGGGACTTACAAGTTGCTACGGTTCGGGAAGGCATGTCAACAATCCAAAACTTCAATCAACGCCAAACTGCATCTACATACGATCTCTCAGCTCATGAGCCTTTCTCCTCCACCGTGGTCTTCGCTGCTTCTGCCAGTGCCCGAAAGAGCTGTTCGTCACGTGTGGCCGTCAGCAAGAACCTTGCCAGTTCTTTTGAGACAAGACAGGCATGCCTGTAATTCAAGTCTCTCGTGTTAAGTGAGCAAGCGCATGAGGACAAGCTTCCAGCGTCCGACGGCCGGAATAGAAAAAGCTCTATCATCCGAGATCGGAACCCTTTACGGTCGTCATGAGAACCTTTTGCTTTGGGTGCACGTCGGGGTGGCGATACTAGTGACTAGTGGTGGTAGTGGTGCGAACGGTAGTAGTGGTAGTAGTGGCAGTAGTAGAGGTAGTAGTAGTAGTAGTAGTAGTAGTAGTAGTAGTAGTAGTAGTAGTAGTAGTAGCAGTAGTAGTAGTGGTAGTAGTAGCAGCAGTAGTCATAGTATGATGGGTAGCCGTAGAACCAGAAGTAAAAGTAATAGCGTAAGTAGTAGTAGTCGTCGTCGCCGTCGTCGTCGTAGTCGTAGTAGTCGTAGTGGTAGTGGTAGTCGTGGTGGTGGTAGTAGTAGTAGTAGTAGTAGAGCAGGAGCAGCAGCAGCAGCAGCGGCGGCAGCGGCAGCGGCAGCGGCAGCAGCAGCAGCAGCAGCGGCAGCAGCAGCAGCAGCACCATCAGCAGGAGATGTAGAAGTTGCAGCTGCCGCAGCAGCAGCCACAGCAGCAAAAGCAGCAGCAGCAGCAGCAGCAGAGAAGCAGTAGCAGTTGCAGCAGTAGCTGTAGCAGTAGCCGTAGCTGTAGCCGACGTAGTCGGAGGAGGGCAGCAGCTGCTTCCACTGTTGCCTTTGCAGCAAATACGTTGGCACTAGCTGCGTCTGCACCAGAAGCAGCAACAGCGGCAGCGATCTTCTTCACCATCATCTTCAGCACCATCATCGTCGTCGCATCGTGTCCCTCATATTTGTCATCATTGTCGGCACCACACCCTGCGAGGGACATGAAGATGGCGGCGATCAGCCTCGGCTTGGCTCTTGCAACACGGGATCGAGTGGCTGAGGACCTTGCTGAGGGGTCCTAAATGTCGAGGCGGCATTATCTGGCCACAGTTCATTGAGGGGCAACGGTTCCTTCTCTGAAGCTTAAGTATGTAGCCCCGGCATCTGGAGGACATCATAGTCAACACCAAAATATTCCGACTTCACAAGGCATCTTGAGCTTGAGTCGTCCTACACAGCGTAGAAGCTTTACTCCGTTTCGAGCTCCACTCTCCGCAGCAAGTGACGAGTTGGTCATGCCCATCGCCAAGAGAGGAGCAGCGACCTGTCTTGTCCAGAGAAGCAATGCTTGTACATGAAACAAGCGTGAGTTTGTGACGTATACAGTGGGAGAGGAGCCAGGTGTTCCTTGGCTTGCGGCCTCAGCGGCTGACTTACGAGGCCGTCTCCCTTTCTAGTTCAGTCACCAGTTCACGAAGCGGCTTCCAGGAAAGGGAGCTTGCTTCAGAACCGTCAAAAATCAAGTACGACCCTCTGCGCCGGCACCTGTTTCCAAATGCTTGTTCCTTGGTGCTGTGCGTGCAAAATACAGCCCCCAAATCTAACTTTGGTCACAAACGTCCAGAACTACGATGTGGTCGTGCCCGCAAGTCATGAAGACTAAGTGCCAGGAGTTACGATCAATTCATTCCTATCTATAGGCCCATATAGGCTATAGCTGCTATAGCTTGATAAGTACCTCCCGAAGAGTTGGACCTCCACTCCCAGACCTTGACATCTCGGATTCTCCTCAGCTCTCAGCCTTACCTTCTTAAGCGCCTAAACCCCAAAGCCCACTCCCTGAAAAAAACCAAACAGCTCATAAACCCTAAGACCCTAAACCCCAAACCCTAAGACCCTAAGATCGGAAAGAGCTGTTTCGGCCCAGGGAGCTGCTTCCCAGCTTGCGATCAGCTTTGGGGGTGTCGCCCTTGGACATCCGGGCTTAGAAAAATATCCGAACACTGTAGAGTTTAGGGTTTAGGGTTTTGTAGCTGGAAGACTAATGACTAATGACTACTGCAAAAAAGCAGATCAAGCTGAGATTTACCTCGAGACATGAAGCCGGTTTCCATGACCATCTGCATTCAGCTGTTTTTGTTCCCAGTCAAAGCATTCGAAAAATGTTGACCATCGCTGTCGAGGAATCATCCAACACCCAAGTCCAGTGAACGAAACGGCTTATGGATTCTAGTGATACCATCCACTGAACCCATGTTCTGCCAGCATTCTTTCCTACAGGGTAATCAATGTCGTATCACGCTTGCGACGCGCGAGTTCCGGTCAGGCGAACAGGGTCTCAACATCTGCTGAGCTGGGTTTCCCGGCAGGCTAGATCTTGCTGTCCGCTACATAAACACACAGAGATAGGTGTGTGTATACGTATATATATATATATATATATATACATATACACATATATATATATATATATATATATGTATAAGATCTACATGTACATATATGTATATATAAATATACATATGTGTGCCGATAAACCGGTCCATATTGTACCTACGACAACCCAGTAGCGAGTAGTCTCGCGCCAACTTTGCACATAGTCAGGTTGCCAAGCAGAGGGGTCGATCAGGCCGTCCTTCACCAACGCATACACCTGAAAGCGAGAGGCAGTCAGTGACACATTAACACGGACCTGCCTTGCTCTGTTGAACTGCAGCTTCCACGTAAGCAGCTGCATAATCCCTGGGCCCTGCACGCAGGCAAATCATCACACGAGACCATCCAAATTACCTAGCTGGACCCGGAATCACGTTAGCTCTCTCATTTGGCCCTGAGATTGTCAAATGATCTGTTTGAGTACCCGTGGCAAATTGAGTGCCATTACCTCACCTCTGCAGTTGCTGCAGACAGCTTCCAACACAACCAACTCTTGTGAATAATAGCGCTGCAACTACGCAGCAAACGACGACGACAAGGACGACGAAGACGACGACCACGACCACAGCAGCAACAGCAACACCCACAACCATAACTGCAACCCCAATCCACACGGCGACTACGACGACGACGACTTCAACGACGACGACTACTACAGCTACTACTTCTACTTCTACTTCTACTTCTACTTCTACTTCTACTTCTACTTCTACTGCTACTGCTACTGCTACTGCTACTACTACTACTACTACTACTACTACTACTACTACTACTACTACTACTACTACTACTACTACTACTACTACTACTACTACTACTACTACTACTACTACTACTACTACTACTACTACTACTACTACTACTACTACTACTTACTATACTACTACTACTACTACTACTACTACTACTACTACTACTACTACTACTACTACTACTACTACTACTACTACTACTACTACTTACTACTACTACTACTACTACTACTACTACTGACCACTACTGCTAACAAATACTACATCTTGTGCAGGGGCCACACTCTGCGAAAATCGTGGTAAAAAATCATCGTCAACATCGCTACCATCTTGCAGCACTTCTCAGAACCTGCATCATCAGGCACACAAGTTGACACATTGGTTCTTACAGCATCGAGGATAAACATGTTTACACCGACAGAGGGGATACCTGCGATGTTGCTGTTGTTGACAGTTATCGTGATGTTGATGTCGGTGGCCGCAGACATGATGACAAGTGATATCCGAATGCAGCGCAGGTTCAGCCTAGAAAAGACAGCCCCTAAGACGTCAAAGGCCAGCCGAGAGACGGTGAGAACCACGTTTGCCGCCAGAAGCTGGGTGCCTACACCCTTTTTCGTCGTTCCAGCGAACACGTGCTTCAGGGCCTGCACAGATGAGGATGTGTTAGAAGCGATACAAACCCTACTGGTGTTCTTGCTGGGGCTGTGGAGAGAGTTTGATGTTTGTTTGCCCTACGGGTGCTTCCGTCGGATGTTCAAAGACCTCGTAGAAATTGAAACCATCGCCAAAGGAACTTCCCACTCTTGCCTGAATAGTGGCAAAGAGACTCTTGGGGCTGCCGTGGCTTCAACACTCAAACTTACTCCTTCGAGGGTTCAAGCCTATCTTCTTTCAAGGTAGCTGAAGGCCTCCGATGATGCCTCCTTAAATGTCCGATGTGTCTGCCCAGCATGAAGTCCACAAACAGCAGGCAGTAGTTGGTTCTGCTGCCTTTAGTTTCAGGACTTCAGAATCACAGGTGTCGGGACTGTTGGACATTTGCGGGCCCCAAACCTCAAGCCTTGATCCGCAGACCATCAACCCCTAACCATCCAAACCCAGCCAACCCAATCTCGATGTCCTTGATCCTAAACCGGACCCCGCCCAGGCCAGAAGAGGCTTGTCCCCGACGTCCTGTGTGGTCCAAAATCCCGTAACCGGTAAAGTTTCAAAGTGTACATCAGCCCGCCAGTCCTTGGGCAAGTTGATGCCACCTTCAGGTGGACGAACGAAGGGCCCAGCCAATCGCATCCACCTGGCTCTCGCAGGACATGGGCTTGCAGCTGCAGGGCTTGCGGGCTTTTTGGGGAAAGGGCTTCGCTTTGGCCTATGGCCAGTAATGAGGCGGGTCTTGGTGGTATACGGCGGAAATTTCATGTAAAATCATTGGCTGCATATCCGAAGGGATGCTGCGGTTAAGGGTCCACGTTAAATACTAAGGGAGCTGGAGCATTTGTCAACTGGAACTTCGGCCGTATGATGAAACCCCACGAAGCTCTCAAACAACACACAACATTGGTATCCCTATTCTGAGCACAAAACTCACACCCTACACCCTAAAAAACACTGCGAGCCTCCACCTCAACACTATCAAAACCCTTAATCCCCCTAAACCCTAAACCCTCAAAACCCCAATTCCTAAACCCTTAGTCCCCCTTTTAAGACAGACGGCATATAACATGATATTGTATAATAAACTTATAGCATATACTACAATAGACGATAATACACTTTGGTTTAAAGTAGCAAAAATACAAAATCGTATGGGAGTTTCCGAACATAGGGGACCCTAACATAAAACCATAACTAGTAGGATCCTTATTTTATGGACCCCAAAATAAGGCACCCCTACGTCCTACGTAGTTTTCGTAAATTCCAATATGATGTAACACAAAGTCAAGCCACACTGGCTGGCCACGCGTCACCTCAAGAGCTCCCACCGGGTCAAAGAGATCCTCTGCAAGGCTTCCGCAGGTGGAGTATGGCTTTCGGGCTTGAGGGTTTTGGGGGGGCTTTGAGGTTTGGGGATTGAAGGCTTTAGGGTTCTATAGGGTTCAGGGGCGTTGAGGCTTCATGGCTTTGGAGTTTTGGGGCTTCAGATCTTCATGGTGTTGGGGTTCTGAGGATCATTCAAGCTTATGTCTTGGGTACACCTGACAACTCCATCAACAGCACCCCCTCTATGGAGGCCTGCATCAAAGCTCAAGGATCGGCTCCCTGCCCAAGTTCAGCCATATTCTTTGGATACTGCCCCCACACAGAAACAGTCTACAATAGGGCTACTATTCAGGGCCTAATATATCTATATTATGAATATGACCCAACTAGTTTACTGAGTGGGGGCAGTATCCAGCCTATTCTGCGCAAGTGAAGCGCTTGCTCATAGAAGTTTGCTCGAAAAGCCTTCGGGACTTGTAGAGTCCATGGACCGGGCAGGGTTGACGTTCCCGCGTTGCAAAGCAAAATCTTCTCGCGGCCTCGTTCTCCACATCGCCCAGGATGATGGGGCCTCATGCGCTTCGGACGTGGATGCTATAAGGAAGCCAAGTTACAGTTGAAGCCTTGCTTTCGCATGGCCACTCATTGCATCAGGCTTGAGGACATCCGCTCGGGATGGCTTCTCTGTCTCACCGGATCCTATCCTGCTTTGGGCGTGCTTAGTAGGTGCAAGAACTGCTTCCATCACGGAAGCCTCGACTCTTAGGATGCCTCTGCCCCGTCATCCAAGCCCGGTGCACTGCAGGTCTCGTGCACAGCGGGCAGCAGCCGCAAACTCGCTACCACTGTGTTTCACAGTGCCGACGGACCTCAGTACAATCCAAAAGCTCAGGGCTTTAGGCTTCCAGGGCGGATAGGGCTTAAAACTATGACAGTTAATTTTGCTGTTGGAGGTTGGGATCTAGTTTGGGGTGCAGACATGATCCAAAATCAAGCTCAAGCGCTGCTGATGCGCACCCAACTTCTTCTCCTCTCCCTCTGAGGCTGAAGCATGTAGAGAGCTCGCTGTGCCAGCGGGAAAAGGCTTGTTGACAGTGATGCCAACATCTCAATGGCTGGCAAGAGCTGCAAGCTCTCGCTTTGGTAGCCTGTCTGAAGCACTGGGGATACTTTTCTTTGCAGAAACTGCTTTAGTGTCTGGATCTTCGCTAGTGTTGTGCAAAGCCGGGATTTGGCACGAAACAGTTGCTCGTTCTTTTAGATCTGGCAGGGCTTGCGAAGCTCGACTTCAATGTTGAGCCCTAAAGTTGCAACATGAGCAAACGATCTGTTTCCCGGGTGCAAGGAGCTTAGCAAAGCGGAGATGGTTAGATGACAAGCATCTGCCGAACTCCTGAGGCAAGTAGCATGTCATGAAACATACATGGCTTATGGGCTCTGTGGACTCCACCAGCCATATCGTATCAGAAAAGTAACCAGAAAGTACTATATAGCATTGTACTGTGATGCTACTGTATCATAGTATTGTATAGTAGTATAGAGTAATAATATGGCCTGGAAGCAAACCTTGGCATTGCACCTGACGAGGAACTAACATGGTGGTCAATGTGAATCTGTCTTCAATGAGTCTACATCGAAGGTCCTGAATTGTTCATGTTCTTCACTTGTTTCTTATACTGTGAAAACGTCAGCTGCCATGAGCTAACTGCATTATATGACAGACTATGATATCCTGTGAGGTACTATAACAGAATACGCTATATACTGTGCAAAACGATAGAATACTTCAACATGTCAACAGACTCTCCAATACCGTGTAATACTAGATAGCATGCACTACGGTGTAACACGACATAAGACCATCATGACCATCACATACTATACGCTACTAGACCTCCTAAAGATTATGAGTCAAGCGGCGATGTTTCTTGAAGGCTCTCTCGAGCCACTCGCTCTCGCCTTAGGGAGCGGACAGCTAAAACTTCGGCCTTCGGCCTACCTCAAAACTTCGACGTCCCATTTCCTACGGCGAGAGGACTAGCGAGCTGCTGCATGAAGCTGAAAGTTATTCTTCCCGAAGTACTCCTCAGAGACATGGCGCTGACATGCCCGATTACTGCCTGGAATGCATGTCGACACACTAAACTGGTCCCATTACCTATGACCTGCTTGGTGTCCAAGATGCTGAAGTTCGACAGCGCTCGACGCATGTTCACAACGTCCACCTCCGGTAGTGGGGCCGATGCTGCTATTCATGCACATACCGGGGCTCCATGTGGACTAAAAACATGTGGCTTGCGGTATTACTGCCGTGTCTAAAACTCCCCCGACACTCCGGAACCAAGGACTCAAACATATCGCACCGAAAGAGGCCTGCATAGCACCAAGTCTCTCAATAGCTGCTGAAGCCTTCTTCAAGATGCCAATCTCTCATCAAACACATGTGCTTCTCGGCTTACCATCGTGTGGATTGCTTGCCGTGCGTGGGAATTCTGTGTGTATGCCTCTTTCAGGATGGTGCGGAATCTCCATCATCCGGGCTTTTTTTAAAGGACAAAGACACCTTGTCGCTAGGGCCACGTACGATGAGCTGGCCCTCCTCTGCCGAGGACTCGGAGGGCCTGGCTCACAGAGACTAGCAATCAAAGGGCTCATGCAACAGATTTGAACTTTGCAGATCTTTGTAGTGTCGCCATGGATTTTCGCAAAGCCCGCAGGGCTGGCCGCAGAGTCCGACTTTCAGCAATATCCTCTGGAACTTTGGGTTTTGCTTGCAAACAGAGGCCGAAGACTCCCAAAGAAGCGTTCTTTCGTTGTCAGATATGCAGACGTAGCTGGCTGAGAATTGAGTCGAGATGCTCGGAATGGCCCACGACCACTGGGAAGCCCTGCGGCGTGTTCTCCAGGTTGATCTGAAGAGAGCCGCTCCTTTGTCTACACCGCATGCATGCTCGAGGAACCTTGCAGTTTCGATTCTGCTGCATGATCTACGTCCGGTTCGCATGACAGCGGACAAATAGTCAGTACTTGCGCTGCTTGCTGCCACGATTCGTACTATGCTTTGTCATTGCGAGAGGACGACTGGGACAACGAGATGCTTGGCTGTGCATCAGTAACACAGCGGCCTTTCGAAATGTTATATAAACGCTGCTAGGAGGCAGGGAGAGTTGTTACGCTTACTACGACAACTCCTCCCTACGCTCCGGCTCCTGGCAATTGTAGTTCCACTACTACCACGCCATACGCCACAGCACCATCACGACGACAACGGTTACGACAACGACTACGGCTTCGGATCTGTTTGTGACGGTGATTGGTGCGACGGCAGTGCATTCTAGACGTGACGGAACCGCTGAAATCGCACTTGCTGCGACTCACCAGTACCATGATGACCAGCTGGTTAGCTACTATTGCAGCGATCATGACTTGTGATATGGCCAGCGTTGCTCTGGTCATGGTCGAGTTGGATTTATCCGCGGCAGTTCTCACTTTGTGAAGAAAGCTGCAGTTATTGAGATGACATTACAGCAACATGGCACTTGCTCTTTCCAAGACGCTGGCTCCGCCAGCACGCTGCTGACAAAACTGATGATGATGATGATGGTGACGACAATGATGACGATGACTATGATGATGATACTGGTGCTGATGCTGCTGATGCTGATGATCTGCATGCCTGATGTTGTCATTCCTCGCTTTATCCTAACTTGCAGGCCGCGAGCGTATCTCGTATTCCCAAAACTCTTTTGGTGAGATGTGCGCAAAAGTGGCGAGGGTAAACTGTTGCGGATGTTATGACAGCCAGCTCGAAGAGCTCTTGTGGTTGTCTGCAGCATTCTTCTCATATGCCTATGCCGCTGCCTGCTTTCGTCGTCATTTGCTCAGAAGTCACCATCGTCGAGCGGCTGCTACGAATATTAACATGTTATTTGTGTATTGAAGTTGTTGCTGTGCTGGTTCCTCACTTGCTTCCTGCTATTTGCAGGTCAAGCGCTGTACACTACGAGAGCCATCAACGCTAGACCCCGCTTGACCTCAAGGAAACCGTTATCCTCAACTCTGAATCCTAAGCCCGCGGAACCCCACTTCTTACCCTGTTAAGAAAAGAGCCGGGTCTCTCAGTGGCGGTGGCCCCAGCTGGGTACAAGCTGCTAATACGCTCTCGGCTCAGCTCAACCTCAAAGCTCTCTGGGCTCTTCGGGTTTCAGGTAAGGGTTCGCAGACTTCGTTGCCAATAATCGAGCCTAGGTACTTTCGATCGGGAAGAGGGTCTGGTACTTTGCGTTGAAGGTTAGGACTCTGCCATATGAAAGAAGTTGCTGGGATCCGGCACGGCGCCAGCTGCCCAAACCCCTCGTAGCCAGGATAACTATGGAGCACCGGATATGGTGGTTCTGCAGAACATCTTGAGAAGCCGGAAGTGTGCACCTTCTCTAGAACCTGAAAACCTAGCGCCGCATGGCCACCGAGGCACAACCACACGGTCCGGTTCCAAGCGAGATATCAGTGCCTGCACGCGAGTCAGAATCTCACATCTCCAATCCCGCACCCAACCTGACTTAGGTCTACAAGCGAGAGATTGAGGCTCTGAATCTCTGAATCGTCAGTTGCTGACATAGCAAGCGGCAGCGCTTCTGCACGGTGTCGTGGTCGTCTACAGCCAGAAACGACACGACATTTGTGTGTGGTCTCTGCGCGCATCCATTTGATTGTTTCGCTTGTTGGCCAAGTCTCATGGGTGCTCCAATCCCTGTACGAAAGAAATGGAAGCCGTATCTCGAGCCCGCTCAACCAAAGCCCACCTCCACATCGGCGGCGCTCTTGGCAGAAATGTGTGCAGTTCCGATGATGTAGACATCCGCACCATGGAGCTTGCCTTCGGTTGACAAAGTCGGACATTGAGCAGCCAGGCAGAAGAATAGTGGTACTCATGCAAACTGTTTCGATGAGGACCTACCAACATACATACTAAGGAAACCAGCTAGTAACACGAATAGCGACATGCAGTTATCAAGAATAAGGATATCTACAGCTATAGGCCAAATGTGTGTGTGTGTACATGTGTATGTATGTACGTGCTACAGTCTGTATAATATAGTATGATATGGCCTTCCGTGTATATCATGATGTAATGTCATGTGAAATAGCACAGACAGCACAACAGAAACTAATTGTAAGATATAGATAAAAGAGACATCTCCCACTCTATTCCTGGCCGGACACTTGAAGATGCTTCATCCCGATGCTGCAACACAGGCAACTACCATCCACAGCGATTGTTGACTCCTAAAGCCGTAGAGATTCCAGGTTGCTGGCTTGCGCACTGACGCCCTTTGAGTTAGACTATATCCAATCCATCGGGAACCAACCTGACATTGGAAACCTAGTGCATCCACACATTATTCCGCGCAAGCTGCTGCGACAAGCACACGGTGGCAGCTCGCCGTCGGGGATTGCAGCAAGACAGTGTTTGAACCTGCCGAGCTGGGCCGAGCTGTACAGCTTCAGCAAACGGAGTTGCGTGCGATATCCTGTTGTGTAAGCCTTCGGTTCAGGAATGATTTAAGCCGAGATTTCGAGGTGGAGGATGTGGCAGATAAAGGGAGGCTTCGTTCAGGATGCGGGGAAAATAGACAGGTCTGTCGGCTTGTCAGCTACAGTAGCGGGCGGACCTGCCTGCATACATGTGTCGAAACAAATTTAGACACGCGTGCAGACAGCAAAATCAGACTGAATGAGACAAACATCAAGCTCAGCGGGCATTAGATATCGTCGTGGCGGAGCTGTCTTCGGAAGGCTGCTGCACTCTAGGACATGCAAGGTTGCAGACATCGAAATAGAAGTCAGGGCCGCAAGGCAACAAACCCTAATACCTAACACATCCTACAAGTCCTGCCCACATGCTGAGCAAAACCAGCTGGCACCCGGACATTACATATGTATATCATGCTGTAGTCTATTATATTACGCTATATCACAAAATACTATGCTAAAGTAAAGTATCATACAGTATAGTACTGTTTAGTATACTATAGCACAGCACTCTTTCTGCCGACCTGCGAAGTGCGGATCGTTGACTCCTCCACAACAGAGTCAGCTGCGGTGCTCCAAAGGTTTGCGGTTCAAATGATCGTGGGTTCCAGTTTGGGCTTAAGGTTTATAGCTTGACACAGGACAGTGGACTGACAACTTAAGAGCTTGACGTTTACCATAGATGCCGCAGATCTTTGCATCAGGCTTTCAAGGCAGAGAGTATGCCCTCCGTGTTTCGCACAGGTGCCTCTCGCCACGATCTAACTATCGACCTGAGCATAACCTCGGTGTGCGCTGGACTTGGACAGGTTAATTCGCGAGCTTTTGTGGCCAACGCGAATCGCACAAGAGGACCAACAGCCGAACGATCTCTCGACTTCCAGGCCGTCGAATCAGGCTGCCCCTGCGCCTTAACACGCCTAACATTGAAATGCCTCAGGACAAGACTAGCAGTTCTGCTTCACGGACGAAGAACTTGGTCATGGTTTGGTTTTACGCATGGGTAGGTGTGTGTTTCCTTGTCCATTCGTTTGTCTATCTTTCTCTGCCTCTGCGCCTACATTTGTGTCCACCCATCTATGCAATCAACTGTTCGTCTGTTCATGTCACTGTACAGATCTCCCTATCTATCTACCTATCTATCTCTATGTTGCAGCTGCCGAACTTCTTGGGTCCCTCGTCGTGCGACCGCCGCAGCCAGCAGCGCTGTCGTTCCACACGTCAGCGCTTGGGTCGGTCGCGACGCCCTTGAGGGGCGGAGGCAGCGGTGGGGCCTTCTGCCATTGAACATGCTTGCCATATTTCATCATCATAAGAATACTACGAAGATAAAATAATACTTATTACTAGAAATATTCCAGTGTTCGTAGGATATTGTTTATAATGTGTAGCATATAATTCATATAATATGACCGACACTCGGAGGCGTGCTGGCTGGCTGGCTCAGGAGTCTTGGTCCAAGGAGGATGTCCCTGTAGCTCACATGCTCAATGCCCTGTGTGCCCCAGCTATGTCCAACTAGAAGTGTTCAGACGAGATGATGGCCAAGAGCGGATACTCTGCGCCCCAGGCTCAACCTTCCTTCATCTGCTCATGCTCACAGCGGCCTAACACACCTTTATATGCCTGGATGATATAACATGTGCGTGTTTCTCTTTATGCATGGCGGGCTGCCATGCCTCAGAACTGTACATATCCATTCGGCGAGAACGTCGTGTCGGAATCCAAAACCCTCTTAAGAAAAGTTACTGGCGAACAGAAGGTGCTTCCTCTATGGGTGACCTTACATGATAAGATTGAGACGGCATTACAGAACTGCCTGGGCCTGGGCAGCCCATCCTGGGAAGAGGTCACCTGATGTTGCTCAATGCTCACCGATCTGACTACACACAACTTTGTGCTCAGGTGCAGGGCCTTCAGCGTCCTGCGATCGCGGGATTGAGGGGGCATATAGTGGAAGTAGTAGTAGTAGTAGTAGTAGTAGTCCCTCCATGATGTTAGCCAGCCCAAGGCCCAGGCAACCCGCTGCTTTCTGGCGCACGAGGTTGGCTGCAGCTGTGGACGTGCGGAAGGCACGAGAGCCATGGCGGTCAAGGGCTCCTTCGAACCAGTCCGCTTCTATAGCGTCTCGTCTGCGGTACTTGCGCAGAGCTGTCTCCCTGCGTTCAGCTCGGACATAATTCGGGCTATACAGCCGTCTTCTTGTGACCGCCGCATTTTAACCAACGTTCTGGGCGTGCTTCTTGCCCAGCTTAGCTTTGTTACATGGTATGCCGTTGCTTGCATAGCGAAGGCTTAGGGCTTAGTCTGAGCCAGAAGATGGACAGCTAGAGGACAAAGTGCCGGTCCCAGCAAGCAGGATTTGATGTTGCACTGTCTTGACGAAATCCATGCAGGCAGCGCACATGCAGTCCAGGCATGGCCTCTTACGAAGAAATGAATGTTTATCAACGACACGTCTTTATCCATGTGCACCTGCAGGTCATCTTCTGCACTCTGTCCTCTGAAACCGTGCGTTTGAGGGAGCACTACAGTAGGGCAGAAGGTCTTGGCCCGAAGCATGTGGCTGAACAAAAGACCAGCCCTTCAAAGGGACACACAGAGAGCCAAGCTGGGAGCCATCGTCATGTGATACTGGCGCTAGCTGCTCTGGTGATGGCTGTTGATAATATAATATAAACACTATCACATATATATATATATGTGTGTGTGTGTGAATCCGCGGTGGGCTGTGGGTGGCTAGTGACAAGATTTGGGCCGAACACAACCCTGAACCCTCGATTGAAGCTCACACCTCTCAAAGATCCCGCGAACTTCTCGGACCCCAAATCCCAGAATGAGCGCTGCACCAAAGAGTGTGACCACCAGGTCCTTCATCCTGCTTGGGCCAGTACCTCTTGGAAGCTACCGAACTGGGAAGAAAGGGGGCGGGGTGCCGGGTTCGGCAACTGCGAGGCCTAAATGAATTGGTGCTGACATGAACCAAGACCGCACAGTCGATACGGTCTTCAGCCGTATGACGACCAGAGCCCATGTTAGAAGTCAAGGAAGGGACAGGGTGCCTCTGCATTAAGAGACCGAACACTGCACCCATGTCGCTCACATATATCCCTCTCAGTGCATCTGACTGCTGCACACAGTGTCCTTAACTAGGTCCTGGCTACTCTCAACGGAGCCTGCCTGGGGCTGCACCTTCGCCTCCAGCCTGCAACGCAAGGCGACTGAGAGCTGCGAATCTTTGCGAGGTAGCGGTTTAGGGTTTAGGGTCTCGTTGCAACATGCAAACGGTAACGGGAGCACATCACCACGCACCGACACTCGTGTAGTATGACGATGATGGTGACCATGATCATGATCATGATGCAAAGATTGAAGGACCGGCACGTGCTGCAGCCCGCCCTAACTACGGGTTATTGTACCCAGCATCAAGTGATGTACCGAAACCCTCGTACAAGCCATCCAGAACAATTCCCAGCCAAACCGAAAGTCCCACAACCGGATACGTGCAGTCAGGGCAAGACCTCCTGGACGACGCTGTTGCTCGTCTCCCTGCGGACACCATCCGTGTTTACGACTGACGTAGACTCAAACGCAGCACACAATGTTATCTCTCTCGTGCCAGTTGCACGAGGTTGGACATTGGAGCTGAGAACTCCAGCATGCAACCAACTTGCCTCACCTGCTTCCAGAACCTCCATCCTAACGCCTACAAGAACTACCGATCCAAGAACTTTGCCAGGGATTCTTCTTGGTGAGCTCCTTTTGCTTCTGCATTGATTGCATGACTCTGCTGCGATGTACGGCTTTTGTGTGGTGGTGCTACGAAATTCTGCTTGCGGCACAGGGAGATTTTCTGTCTGTGGCGGCATTGTCTCGACAGTACCGTTCGAGCAGTGTCCATTCCTGTCGGCATGCTGCCGCGGTGCAGTGCTTGGTCTGTCCTGCTGGTATTTCCACCTTCTTGACCCCACTACTGCCTCACATCGTAGGTCTACAGAAGTACAGCGCAATCCCTTTCTACTTTTTTGCTGGACCATCGTACCACGATCTGCTTCTGCAACACAGTGTTGCTGTATCCCAAAGAAACAGGCCACGGTTGATTCATCTCTTCGTTGTGGTAGGGTAGGCTGCTCATGCTATGCTATAACTATCGGCTGTACTGCGTTGATGCTACTACCGCATTGCCTTGTTGCCACACGATGCTACTCTGAACAAGCATGCTGCAAGTCTGCAAGTGTGGTGCAGGGCAAGCTGAAAGCCTTTACAGAGGTGCTTCAAGCTTCAGCTTCGCTACCTTCACTGTGGAAACCGTCACGCGGCAACCTATGATAATGATGGCTACTTCTGTCGCTTCATACTTCCGACCACGTCTCATGTTGCCGCTACGACAACGACCACGCTTTGTAGGAGACGCAGTCTTGATTCTGCTACGTACTGTGGAACTGATTCTTCAACAGGCAAGCGGCTAGTCACATTCTGAAGCAGGTGCTGCTGAGTGGCAAGACCGACATGGCTCCCGATCACGCCAGTGCCACCGGGGGTAAACTTGATGAACCACCCTCACGCCCTCGGTGTCAGCTCTGAAAGCCTTGACAACGAACTTTGTCTTGATGCACTAACTTCAACTTGCAACAACTTGAGTAGAGCCGGAATCCTCGTCTGCAGCGCTGGAAATACTATCCAATAACTAACGAGTAGTACGAGTTGCTAACATGTCCCCTCCATGCTATGCTTACTTGACCTAGAACTCTTGTTGCAACATCAGTAGTAGCGATTATGGTGGTAGTGGTAGCAGCAGCAGCAGCAGCAGCAGCAGCAACAGCATCAGCACCAGTAGTAGGCGGTGGCAAGTGCGGTCCCCTTTGACCCTCTCAAGCGCTTTGGTTTTACATCTCTTTGGATGTCGCCACGGGGACACGACTGGAAACTGAAACGGGATCCTGCACAGGGGGAGGTTGCGCCCATGCACTCGGCCTCGGCGGAGTCTCGAAACGGCCCTTTCCTAACATCATGGAAGATGTCAGCTCTGAAGGCATGCAAAGGACTCCCAAACGATGCTCCGGCTTCTCATCGCCATTAATCAAGGAATACCGAGTGGGCGCAAAGCTCCAAGTCCCAGGTAAGGAAAACTAACTTAATCGTCGCGCTGGACACCTTTCTTTCGGCTTTCAACGAGCGCCGCAGCATCCTCGCCTTGGGTTAAGCGGTATGTCTTTCCACGCTTGGATCTTATGCTCAGCTCCTGCACCACAACAAGACCGCATGTCAATCCAATACTGTAATCTGAAGCTTCCGCCCCTGCAAATCTGAACTAGTGGCGAAACTCATGTGCTGCCTGGTCGTACTACATATCACTATAAATGGCGGCAACGTGCTTTTGCCGAATGGGCGCAGTGCTTGGGATCCAGCTTATCATGCTTGCGACGTGTGCCTTGATGACCCAAAGCTCGACAGCCTGGCATGGCAGACACGCCTGGCTATCTTATCATGTAGTTTATTGTTATAAAATCTTCTTTTTCTGTGCCCAACTATTGAGTAAATCTCTGTCATGATAACACGTCATTCTGATTTTTTGACTTGTTGCAGGAATTCGTAGGTCTCAAGCCGCATGGTTCAGAGCTTTGGGTTTCGAGGCTTTGGGATGCACAGCGCTTCAACTGAATCATCATCAAGACGCCGCATTTCCGCAACACGGTGCTGGACTTTACAACGGCCTTTGTGTTCGACAGCTGTTCCAGCAGCAGTGCATCATATGTTCCTGTAGCGTACCAGGTGACCATATGTATATGCTGTATATACAATGTGTATGCTATACGCACCTATTCCAACATGCATACATATTACATGACATACATACATACATACATACATACATACATATCTACATACCCCCCTCGTCCGAGGCGGGTCCTGGTCACAGCTTTGGCCTTCTCCTGTTCAGTCCGAGACCTGCTGGTGCGGGAATGGATGGAGTTTTGCCATTGCCCCTTATCCAGGTCAAGTTGGTGACTGAGTGAGTACTTGGGAAGGCAGGGTGCCGCACGAGTCGCATTTTGCACCCAGCATCTGTAGAGGGATCTGCAGAGAAGCGTGCTCGCCAACACTGGCACGTGGCCGGGCTCAGCCCAATGAAGAGGCGACGTTGCTTGTTTGGCTTTGTACCCTGATGGGTGACTGCGGGGGGAAGAGACCTTGCCCCAAGAACTTCGGCGAGGATGGCACTCTGCTTGCCCTTATGCCGGCTTTGCCGGTGGCGGGCCTGCCTAGTGCTTGTTCTTTGCGTCTGCAAGCAAGCGCTCTTGCTCAACCGGGCCATCTGTTGGCCTTGGAACGAGGTTTTCTGGGCTGGAGCGTTGCTTTCCGAGCTCTTTGAGAAACCGGGAGGGATCGGCGCCTTAGGCATGACTGCTTGCACTTACTTACTAACTCATACCTCATACGTACATACATACATAAACATATACACATATATATATATATGTACACATTGCAGAAACGTGCATGTATACAAATATATATATATATATATATATATATATATATAGAGGCGCAAGCGATGATCAACGGCGTCTTTCTCGCGGTTTGATATCGGAATCAGAGGAGGCTCCCGCAGCTCCATTATTTATTTGCAGGACAGCAGATTCCGTGCTTTGAAGCTCCTCTGTTGCTCTCGGTTTGCGGCCTCAGCTGCCCCAGTCTGTTGTTTCTTATCAGGGATAGGTTTCATGGCCTACGGACTGAGTCATCGCCGTGCGTATTCATACATCTGTATGTATAAGCATATGTCTACACACAGTTTTCACTTGCCTTTGTATTGCTTGCATTACGAACCATGTATATTTCGGACTTAATTGCACTCTCAGAGATTCCGACCACGATGTGACCCGGAAAGCAGCGCCGGGTGTGCCACAGCCAAGCATCGCCCGAGGATCAGCAAAGGACCGAGGGACAGGAAGAGCCAGGAATTTCTGATCAGCTGGACAAGGGCTTCTGCTGGGCTCTGCGGTTCGGGGTAAGCTTGCCAAGCTCGAAGCATGAACCCCCAGGCGCTCAAGCCCAAAACCTGATCTATAGCTCTGGGTGCA